TCAGTTTTTCTGGCTTTGGTGGATCATCTTGAGGCTTCTGTTTCCTAGCCGGCAATAACATAGCTTGAATATTGGCCGCGGCCCACCAATCAAGCCATTTTTTGCAGCAGGAAACAGCCAATACAACTCTTCAAATTTTGCCTCAAGATTGAGCTTCCCTGGTTCATCAGGTAGAAGCAACCCTCGAAAGTTTGTAACCCACAGGTTCTAAACAGAAATACCGGCAAATGAACATCAGTATAGATATATATGAAGAATGAGAATAATGAAATACTCTTCTTACCTCTTGGTTCACCTTGACTATCAAGCGGTTCTTCTTCAAACGAGTGATTGCTTGAGCAAATTGCTGATGACAGCCATGTATCCTGGAGAGTGCTACATTGCGATTGTATATGTTGAAAACCTCCATGTACGCATCTATGAAGCCATTCCTTTGAGCTAAAGAGAAATCCACAACTTGTTCACATAATTGCCTCTTGTCTTGGTCAGTGAGAGTGCTCTTCTGAATTCGACGAAATAATGTCAAGAATTGAGCTTTGTAATGGCCTGTTTTGAGTACGTCTAGCCAAGTGAGAAGGATAGGAACCCAGCGTTGAAGAGTGGTGTTGTACATTGAGGTGGTCAATAAATAGCCATTCTTGAAGAACCAATATGTGATGTCCAACAACAGGCCACCTGAGTATGGCTTGTTGAAATCCTGATGTACAAGGATTTCCGCCATCCAGGGATATGAAAAGGTCATATGCATGTCTTTGGGTAATCAAAAACTGAAAATGATACACAAACCATGGCTGTTATGTGATGGATTGTGGTGATTTCAAAAAACATAAGGGATTCAGTATTTCTTCATGTTTGGGACATTTGAGCGTTCACTTACTTTGAACAGTTCTTAATCTGTTGGTTCAATTTATCACCGGCCTCCTTGTCATTCTTATCTTCCATTGAACCATGTTGGATGAGCTATACACGCCGCAAATACCCTAGGCGGTCCGCATGGCCAAAAGAGGGATGTACATCAACCACAGAAGATATTGGATTGGTACCTGTATGTGCGTGACCGACCTAATGAGGAGATAGAAATGAGTTAGTTGAGAAGACAAAGACAAAAGCAAAAAGGGAAGCACATACTTTCAAAGCCAAGTGTCCACACTTAGGGTCTTTAAGCACTCTTTCTTTAAGCTTGTCCTTTGAAAGTGGGTCCGCCTTTTTGGCTTCCGGCCAATCATGGCCGTGAACTCCTTGATGACGTAGCAAAGACCATTTATCCTCAATATATTTGTCAACTTGACAACGGGCTGAACATTTGATGTGGGTCTGAAATCCGTCACATCCAGGGATTTGGCATTGCACACCTCTGGTAATTGAGAAACAAAGCAAAAACATTTAGAAACAAACCAAGGGAACAGAAGGTTTCAAGCTCTACTTACCCCATACTAACTTGGTGACTTGCCGCCGGTTGGTGGCGACCCAGCAAATTGACATTCCGTGTTGGAACACTTGATAACCCCAAGGCAGTAGTATCTTTGGATGATCCACTTGCTATTAGACAATTTTTCAGAGCGCATTGTGTGGGTCCAAGCGATGAAGCGGAAGTTGGCTATGTGTTGAGTGGGTTCCAAGACGTAAACAGTGTTTCCATTGGGATAAGGTGGGTACCCTTCCTTGTCAACAATGGTGCCATGGTCAAA